TATATATGTATATATATATATATATATATAAATTGTTTGCATATTGTTATATAAGGTTATATAGTGTTAGCACAGATATAACCACACATTGCTCATGAAAGCAAAAGAAAATTTATCTGAACACTTTTTAGACACATCTTGTATTTTTAAAAAAATGTTTATGTAAGAATCATGTATATTTAAAAAAAAAATAAAAAAAAGCTTTTGGGAAAACTTAGCATTGGTGTACGTTGAAGTATGTTTTTCGAGGTAGACGGAAAAAAAGGTCCCGGAAATAAAGGTACGGAAAAAAAGGTCCCGGAAAAAAAGGNGCGTTTTAGAATATTGAAGTTTTTCACTTATGCGCCTCTTTCACTTATGCGCCTTTTTCTCTTGGCCTCTTACACCGGTGCATAAGTGAGAGTTCACTGTACATAAATAAATAAACACTGGTGTATGTTGAAAGATGTTTTTCGAAGCTCTTTTCGTTGAACTGTGTTCTTCAAAAGCCCTTCTCTTAAAGGGTGTTCTTCAAAGCTTCAACAACTACAACAAAAAAAGAGATAAAGAAAAATAGGAAAAAAAAGGTTACGGTATGAGTTCTTTTAACTCAAAGAAATGTTTAATTTTATACTATACATACTCTCCTGCTGTCAATAATTATCTGGATATTTAAGTGAACAATATTTTAAATTGCTTAAAAAAAAATTTTTTAAACTTTTTTGTTAAAAAAAATTGCCAATTTGGCGAAATTTAAATAAAAAACATCAGAATTAATGAATTCTAAATTTTCTCAAATATTTATGAGTTTATACGATGCATCTTCGAAGTAGCTTTTGAAATATTTAAAATTTTGATTCCAAAGGCAGGCGAAGAATATTCACTGGTAATACCCATTATTGTGTTGGTCAGAAGCGTTCCATAATAAGTTTTTAAAAGTAAGACAGACATTTTAAGATACTTGATTTGATACTAAATATAATTATTTTGGCAGATCCTGGTGATGCTTTTCATTTTAACAAAATTGTGGTTTCCTACATATTTACATTTCGTACCATTTACCTAATTAGCATAGAGGAAGCTGTCTAGATGTGAACGAAATTTGATCTAAAAAAGTGAAAACCAGATTAAAAAAATTTACGCAAGTTATGAAAAAAAAATATTAAGCTATAGCTATTAAAATAGGTATATCATTTCCTTATAGTGCAATTTCGTAACTTGTCAGTCCCTTTGAAAAACAAGCTTTTTCATACGGCATGTACAGCAAGTGAATCTGCCAAGCTTTATAAGTAAAGTGTTAACATCAGTGAAAAGTTTTTTTTCTTTCAGAGCTACGCATTTTGATGCAAAGTTTGTCGTACTTATCTTTCATGATTTTTGTATGTCAATTATTTATTATTCAATTATAATTATTTATTATTTAATAGTAAAATTTCACGGTTTTAATCGTAATTTCAAATGCGATAAACCTATAAAAAACTACTTTATTTTGAAAATATTTGATAAGAAGAATGGTATTTAATCATCGTTTTATCATGGATAATCTTAAATTAGGTTTTTACATCCGACAGTTGAATTCACAGTAGTGGAGGTGAATTTAATTTTGTTAGGAATTTGCTTATGGTGTTTAAACATCAGCTGAAAATGAATGAAATAGCCGCACTATGGTTTTCATTGAAATGAAAACTACTACAACTAACAAGAACTACTATAAATGTTTGAAATTGCTAGTAGGGAAGCATATCTATTTATTAACAATCTGGTTATTTTACTTTGATTTGAAAAAAGCGATGGGAAATACTAATGCAATATCTTATAAATGCATGTACGTTTCTTAATTTATTCAATACATCATTATTTGAGAAATTATGTATTTTTTTCCAAATAAATGTGCTAATTCTTTTTCATGGAATTTTTACTTTAAATAACGCTGTGAAGTAATTAAAATAATAAGTAATGGATTATTAATTGGATCTAAATATAATTGCAGTCCTCCAAAATTTTAAAGAAAACTTCAAAAAAAGCCCTAACCCTCGAAAAGCATTTGCTTTTTCTACGGAACCCTACGGTTCCGTGGAATACTATTTACTAACCACTGCTCTTTATAATGATTTACTAAAATTAATTTCATACGTTTTATATGGCTGAAAGATTACTCTATATACGTGAAAAATATGTACATTTAAATAGATAGTTTGTTTATTTCTTTTTTAAAATGGTGAAACGGCATCAAAAATACCATGTAAATTACTGATATGTTATTTCAAATAACGCAGAGGAAAAAAAAAACACAAATTTTTTTTTTTAACTGTTGCTTATTTTGAGGAATCTCTGTTTACCCAAATCCTTTCATTATTAAAAAAAAACATTCCTGAATAGAGGACTCGATGACGAAATATTTTTTTAAGCACAAATCCAAATTTACATGATTTTGGACTGTTTACATTTTATTACAAGTTATATCTATTTAAATGTAAATTGTGAAAAAATTAAAAACTCTTTTCCTCTAACTCGTTCATCCTTAATTAAACTATTGTAATTATTCATAAGGAAATGAAAATTCTTCCTCACGAATAATATCATATAAAAGACAGCATCCAATAAATTGGTTAGCTATTTGCATAACAAAATGTGAAATATTGGTTCAACATCAATTAACAACACGCTAGTTATTTTCAATACTTGTTATCGACTATAAAAACTGATCGTTCGTCATAAGGTTAAATATAAGGTTGGGAATACTTGGTAATAAATTTAAGTGTAATATAAGATGCGCTTGTCAGCAATACTTTTGGTTTTAATTTTTGCGTGGAATTCCGTTGACGCAATTTCTCCTCCTGCACCACCTAGTGAAGCAGATGATGATGAAGAAAAAGCTTCGACTGCTCTTTTAGATTGTCTTGTGCACCAGATTTGCAATTGCGGTAAGTAAAATGGCCCCGCAATTATAGTTCATCGCGTCGAAGAGTAGGATAACGGATGGCAGACTCGTTATGAATATAAATTAGGAGGACGATAAGCCACACGAGAAACTTATCAATGCAAATTTTGTTTTATCTCCTTACCTGATTTAAAATTTAAAGCATAGAAGAACTGAAAGCCTCCACACGGTTTTTGGTAAGTAGTCCGATCAGACCATTATGAAGTTAAACCAATTAGTGAAAGAACCATTAAATATGAAATCTATTAAAAATTAGAGAGTGGTAGCAAACATATGTCTAAATATTTGTTTAATTTATAAATATAATTGGTTTGTTTTATTTACTTGTCAACCACTACAGATTCAATTCTCAAATATATATGATAAATTTCTCTCAAGTACTTTTAAAATAGAATTTCTGTTCATGCGCACAAGTGGATCCCTTTTTAAACAATCTGCGCAGACTATTTATAAGAAACCGTGTGGAGGCTTTCTGATGTAGGAGGTGATGGTTCAGGCAACGCCTCCTATAACTGAAAGTCCACACACGGTTTTTCGTAAGTAGTCCGATCAGCCCACTATGAAGTTAAACCAATTAGTGAAAGAACCATTAAATATGAAATCTATAAAAAATTAGAAAGTGGTTGCAAATATAGGTCTAAAAATTTGTTTAATTTATGAATATAATTGGTTTGTTTTATATACTTGTCAACCACTACAGATTCAATTCTATGATAAATTTCTCTCAAGTAATTTTAAAATAGAATTTGGGTTCTTGAGCACAAGTGGTTCGCTTTTTAAATAATCTGCGCAAACTACTTATAAGAAACCGTGTGGAGGCTTTCTGATGTAGGATGTGATGGTTCAGGCAAACATAGAATAAGTCAAAAAGTCTCAATTGTCGAAAAAAATTTCAAAGTGAGGAAATTTAATCAAATTGTTGAAATAGAACTTACCTTTTGAATAATCCTAAGTTAAAATTTCATAATTTGTTTTCATTTTTATATTTCGAAAATTCTTTTTCAGTATTTTAAACTTTATGCCTTGCTTTAGTTTTTGCATGCACTCACTATTTCTAGATTTTAAATTACTCATAGTGATGAAAGAGAATTTACGATTAAAAGTTTTTCCTTGTGCTACAGCGTTCTCTTAAGGCTTAAGCTGATTTTTTAAGTTTTTGTATAGTTTAAATCAGAATAAAACAGCTCAATGCAGAATAAAATAGCTAAATTCAGAAAAAAAGCTTCAGCTAAAAAACTACACAAGGGTTACGGATATAACATTAACATTTTATATATATATATATATACACACAC